GGCAAGGAGTTTGAAGTGGCAGGAGTTCCTACTGTGTGCGGGACCCTATGGCCCTATGAGTGAGGGAATTTGTTGGGAAAGCCTCTGTAACTCAGATCTCACCTTAGCTGCAGGCAGAGTGTTACTGCTAGTAGGTGTAGCGGATCAGGGGTGATCCATCAAAGGACCAGCACCCACCCTGCCTCCCCAAAAGAGAGTTAAAGAGAGCCCTCCTCCACAGCTGTTTCCTGCCTTCTACCTTCAGCCCTGGTGTGGTACTTCTCACTAAACTCTGTGACCCAGATCCAGACTCCTGAGCTGTCATTTCAGGGACCTCCCTCCCCGTCCATTAACAAAAAACATGAGGGCAGTCATGGATGGGCTGTTGGAGGTCTAGGGCTTGGGCTTGGAGCTACCATCTCTGGTAGAAAGGGCCTCTTGTTCCCTAGACACTGTGGGGCTGCTCCTGTTAGGACCCTGGGTCCCTTTGAAGGGGGGTCTGGCCCAGGTATAGGTAAAGTGCAGCTGGCCAGGACCCACTGAAGTCCCACTGGGCTCTGGGGGTATGTGTTCCCCCCGAGTGAACGTGATGTGGCTGCAGGGGTGGAGGGCAGGTGGCCCAGAGAAGACGGGGGCTGAGGCCAGCCCTCCCTGCTCTAGGTGCTCGGTGCTTTCTGACACCTGGTGAGGATCGAGTTCTGGAAGCAGGTGGTGGGGAGTGTGTGGCCTGTTGTGCTCAGTAAAAATGGGGCAGTAGGTTTCCACATGGGCACCTGTCTTGATCAGCTCAGGCTGCTGTAACAAAGTACCCCAAATTGGGTGGCTTTTACAACAGACATGTATTTCTCATGGTTCTGGAGGCTGGCAGTCTGAGAGCAGGGTGCCTGCATGGTCAGGCTCCTGGCAGAGAAACCTTTACAGATTTGTAGACAGCCACCTTCTCACTTCACATGGTGGGGGAATGGGCAACAGGGAGAGATTTGATGTCTCTTCTTATAGGGCCAGCAGCCCTGTTGGAATTAGGTCCCATCCTTATGACCTCATTTAACCTTAATCACCTCATAACCACCCTGACTCCAGATAGAATCACATTGGGGGTCAGAGTTTCAACGTAAGTATTTTGGAGACACACTTTAGTCCATAAAACACATCTGTTACCACGCACACGTTTCACCAAAGTTGGCATATGGGAAGAGAAATTCTCCACCGAGGTCTTAGATCTCAAGTTATCCTGCAAAAATTGTTCTATGATTTAAATCAAGGTTTGGCAAATTTTCTGGAAAGGACCAGATAGTGAGTGTTTTATGGTTTGCAGGCCATTCTATCTTTCGTTGTGACTGTTCAACTCTACCGTGGCAGCACCAATGTGGGTGAGACCATGTGCCAATAAAACTTTATTTGTAAAAACAGGTGGCAGGCTGGATTTGCCCACCACTGACTTAAATGTTATACTTGCTCAAAAATGAGATTTAGAAAAGTAAGCACTGTAGAAATTTTTGTTTGATCTCACTGTTTTTCAATTGTGAAGCCATGGTTGGCGTTTGATGAATTTCTTTGGCTTTTTGTAAAGATTTTTGCTCTTATTTCTTGACCATGTATTTTGTATTTCTTCAGTGAACACATATATCCTAAGAATGTCTGTGAGTGGCGATGGGGGCCAGGCAGCCTGGCTTCCTTGTGCAGATCCGTCATTTGTTTGATCTGCCCTCTTTGTTCAGGAGTATGGTTAGTTTTCCCCACTGTGCTGCATTTTTCTCTCCTTAGTCAAGCAGAATGCATCTTTGTTTCCATTTCTCACTTCCCTGGATAACATCCCTGGCAGGCCAGGTGAAGGGTCTGGCTGGGGCTTGTGGGGCTGCTTCATTTCCAGCATCTCTCCCCTGGCAGCTGGTGGTCTCTGTCCTCAGAAGCTGTTGGCCTTGCCAGGGACTGAGTAGGGCAGTTATGGCCAGTCCATGCTGTAACTCCCCTCCATACACAGCACTTGTTCTTGCAGTGCTGGGGGAGCGCTATGAGCACATTCCAGTGATTAATTAAACTGGCACCGGCACAGGCTGCTTCTCGGCGGAGTCCTGTGAAGGACTCCTGGGGCACACTGGCCTCTCTTCATGTCTTCAGGGAGTGAGTTTCTGCTCATGAGTATTGGGGTCTGAAAGGTGTGTTCACCCAGTCCGAATCCGGCCTTTGTACTCTGCTCACATACCATCATCACTGGGGACAGCAGAAGGACCACAGCCTGGGCCCAGAATCTTGGGGTGGGGACAAGTGGATGGGATGCTGACCTCGTGGCAGGCCAGCCTGGAGTTGGAACCCACAGACAATACACCTTGTCTCAACCATCCGAAGCGGCTGGTGGTAGGACCCAGGCCACATGAAATGTGTTCCCGCAAGTCCCTGCCTCTTGCCTTCACTCCTTTATCTTCCTGGATAGCCCCACTCAGCATTAATGGCATCACCAGCTGCCCTGTCTTTGGCTGATGTGAGCAGGACCAGTGAGGATTGGTGTCCTGATTACCTAATCCCTCTCTGGCTTTCAGAGCTGAGCCCCCGCCCCTCTGGTGCCTGAGTGTTTTATGTTCTGGCAACAGTACAGAGGGCCCTGGGGCATGCTCAGGCCTTCGGGGGGCCACCCAGACTCCTCTCCCTCTATTTGTGCCCAATTGCTCCATCAGAAACTAATGACACGGCCGAACCCCCTTTGAGAACAGACTCATTTCTTTTGCACACTGATGGGGGACCATTAAGTTGAGTTGCCAGAATGAGAGCAGCAGAAACCATCAGCTTTAGTGACTCCAGCAGATCATCCATAGACGCCTGTCCCGGAAGGCTTGGGGCCTGACAGGCTATGGAGGGTGAGGACACTATCCAGGGCCTCCTTAATGAAAACAAATAGCACAGGTTGCTCTGTGCCTCGTTGCCCACAATGAGGATTCTGTCATGGCCGTGGGCCTCTGATCCCTTCAGCCCCTTTTCCAGGACAGCCCCTGCAGGGGGAGGTGCTCACTGCTTGCTTGTGGGCCCCCGTATGACATCTCTGGGGCCTGAATCAGAAGACAGCTTGGTGTCTCGCGGTGGTGGGAGCAGCTGGGGTCTGGCACATTCAGTCCTGAGAGGTTAGCATGTCCTCCATCCAAGAGGCTGCCGTTCCTCCCCGCCAGGACCTGTGAGCCTTGCCTCCTTCTCACTCTTTTCTCCGGGTACCCATGCTCCCCAGATCTCTACCCCTCACCAGCCATAGATTCCACCACAGACAGAACCCAAAGGGAGAGGCTGGGTACGGTGGTTCCCGGAAGCTTTGTCTTGGCCAGTGGTGTTCAGCCCTCGGGCCTGCCTCGGCAGAGGGTGCGGGCCAGCTCCAGGCCACCAGGCGCTGTGCTCTGTGGAGCGCGTCCACATGTCCCCTCCCCGGCACACACAGGTGCTTTTTTTAATTACTTAAGGAAAAGCAATTGCAAAGCGCTCGATACAAATCCCTTAAGCTGCTGTCGATGGTGATGCTGGGGAGGCCTCAGCCCGGCCAGGAATCTGAAGCACGGGCACCATCTGTGTTCCGACACTCTGCAGCCAAATTACACCGCCAGCCTTTCTCTCCTGTGCAATTTTTCATTAAATGAATTGAGTTTACTGGGAATCACTTGGCCATAAATATTCCCTCCTGCTTGTTGCAGTCGGGTTCTTCCTGTCCCCAAGTCCGGCTCCCGGATCCAACTTGGAAGGGGCAGATGGGGGCTACTGGCGCTGCGGGACGTTACTGAGGACATTTTCCACAGTCCCAGAATTGGGGTTAGAAATTTTTCCAGGTTTTCAGAGCACATTGAGGGAAGTTTGGAAGGGCTTCTCAGGGCAAAGTAACATAAGCGCTGCATTCCATGAAATGTTCTTTCATCCCCTTCATTTCCATTGAGAAAGTGGCGGTCACAGTGAGGTGGTTGTAAAAGGAGCACAACTGTGCATTTAAAATGGAAACTCATTGTAAGCTACAGCTTTGGAAGGGCATGCTCCTAAATCTTACATTTGATGGGGAGGCAGAGAGGAGCCAGGAAAGTTCTGAGTGGGGTTCAGACTATGAACTGCAGGGGCTGCAGTACACATGTCCCCGGTACATTTCTCCCATAAGGAGGCAAGGACTGTGCCCCATAGAGGGGGAGACAAGTGTAAATTCCACTCCCGACTGCCCCTGAGGCCCCCTCTATCCTATGTACCCCTCCGTCAGCTTCCCCGCTGTTTCAGGCATCCCTGCAGAAACTCTTCTTCCGGAAGATGGTCGCCTACTTCCAGAGACGGCTTTATGCTCTGGAGTCTAGACCAGGAACCAGCAAACACCAGCCTGTGCCAAATCCTGCCTTTCATCTGTTGATGTCCAGAAGGTTTTATTGGCACAAAGCCATGCCCATTCCCTGCACGCGTGCGGACATACAGACGTACATGCACACACGAAACATGTACTGTCAGGTTGGGGCCTGGACTGTAAGATGTAGACAACAGCTGCTCTAGACATCTGGAGTCGTGTTCTCAGGACCTGGCCTCCAAATCTTTGTGTGGGTTCTCAGCCCCCAACTCCCTGAAATGTTGAGGTTCCCCAGGATGTCTTTGGTTCTTCCTTGATGATGCTCTGCCCTGGGTGCCACCACAGTGCTGTGATGTAGAGGAGAGGTTCTGGGAGGTGGGGTCAGGGCACAAGAGGGCCCCTGTGTCAACTTGGCCTTGTCATATGTCAGCCCCTTGCTTGAGGCTCCTATACCCAGGGGGTCCTCCTGTCTCGGGCAGCATCTCACTCGATGGTGACTTTAATTCCACTAGGGTGGACCAGAGACTCTGATTTTGGGGTATGCCTCACTTGGAAAAGGACAGTCTGCAGCCTTGCCTTTTACCTTTCTCCCAGAAGATGCCATTTCCTGTCTTAGGAAGGATGTTCTAGAAAGGAAGAGCCCCGTGTTAGGACGGGATAAAATGACTGCTCCCCCCTTTGTGTGGGGCCAGTCCCCCACGGCTCAGTGGGTTTTTCTCCTGCCTCCTCACAGTGCACATGCCGGAAGGACATGGTCAAGATCTCCATGGACGTCTTTGTGCGCATCTTGCAGCCAGAGCGCTACGAGCAATGGAAGCAAGGCAAGGACCTCACCGTGCTTGACCACACCCGGCCCACAGCCCTGAGCAGCCCGGAGTTGAGCACTTGGAGCGCCTCCCGGGCCTCCCTCAAGGCCAAACTCCTCCGGAGGTGAGTGGGAAGGAGCCGCCACACCATGATTGGCTCTGGCGGGGACTAGAGGGACTCCGCCCAGCCCCTCCCCACTGGCAGGTGGCTGCTGACTGTCCCCGAACCATGCTCCACCTCCTCTCTCCTCCCTACTCCTCTCCCTCCTCCATGTCCTCCTTCCTCTACCTTCTTCTTTCCTTCTTCCTTCATGTCTCCCTGTTTCCTCTGAGGCAAAGCAGTCGGTGTCTGTTGGCAGGCTGAGTTTCCCTCTAGTTCTTCATCTACCTGTTCCTGGGATGTCGGCCCTTGGGCCACACAATTGCCTCTCTGATGATCCATGCTGTCCCTCTCTCCAGCTTGTAGAGGATCTTATTTGGGTCCCTCCTTGGCTCTGAGTGATGGTGTGTCCCATGTCGGGAGCCAGAGACACAGGCCGGCCCAGTGCTCATTCTTCGTGGACTGAAGCACACAGCCTTTTGCACCTGCACTCGCTTGTCGTATAGCTTCTGGGTACTTGGTGCTGTGTGGACTCTCAATCACAAGGGTGATCCGTCCAGTCTGGGTGTTGCACACTGCAGGTCTGGCCCCTGCATCTGCCCTTACCCTCTGCCACAGTGTGGGCATAGCCCTGCATCCACTGGGGCAGGAGAGGGCAGAGTGACTGCTAGGTGACGTGGATGTGGGTGGCAGAGGAGGAAATGACTTCATACCAGGAGCGAGGAGGCACCTCGGAGGGGTGACTCTGGTTTGCTCTTTTCTGGAAAACATTCAGGCTTTCAGGGGTCTGAGTGTTCATAGACTGAGTTCAAATAGAATCCTTTTCAGTGTGTCAAGAACATTCAGTATGTCCTCCAAGGCCCTTGGGTGCAGTGCAGAGGACAGCACCAGGCAGCCTCAGCCACCCTCCTGTAAAGGGCTGGAGGGGCCCTCCCACGGAGGTGAGAAGCTCCGAGAAAGCTGCCACAGACGGCAACCTTCAATAAACGAAGGCCCGTGATGTCCCAGTAAGACTGCTGTGGACGCTGACGCTGGAAGTGCATGTCACGTTCGTGTGCCACAGAGCATCTCGGTCAGGTGCACCGAGTGGCATCTCACCCAGCGGGGCCTTGCAGGTGACTGAGCAGGCCGCGTGCAGCTGCGGAGTGGCCATCTGGGCTTGTCGTGCGCTGACACCGCATGATGATGACGTCACCTGACAACGTATTTCTCAGTACATGTCCCTGTTGTTAGTGACTCGTGACTCTATCCTTTTAACTTTTGAACCATTTGAAAACATAAATGCCATTCTTAGCTTCGGACTGAAGCAAAACAGGCAGCGGCATCCTGGGCCTGGGCTTGTTGAGGGCCGGGGCTGAGGGCTGCTTGCCCTTTCCTGAGTGGTGGCTTTTTTGTCTGCAGCCTCTGGGCCACTTCTGGCTTGGTCCCATCCCACCCGATTGTGCCCACGTGTCCTCAGGGCCTGGCAACGAGGGGTGGGGTGACTTAGCCACTTCATTTCTCTGGCAATGTCTCCTTGGTGGCCCCACACACCCCGTAGAAACACCCTTGCAGCTCCTTTGATAAATCCATCCTCGCTGAGCCCTCAGCCCAGTTCAGAACCTTTCCCCCCAGCTGGACTGTTCTCATCTTGAATGTGTCTGTCTTTGAATCCCCAAATCTCAGCCTCATTCATGTCTGTCTCCCCACCCTGTGGCCCCTCTCTTTGAGAATGTTCCTGAACGCTTTCCTTTCTGTTCCTGACAGCCCACGTGAAGGTGAGTCTCACATTTCTGATCTCTTTGTTGTCTGTCCTTTTGATTTCTGACTCTCCTGACTATTTTTCATGAAAAGCAACTTCTCAGCGAGGCGCATCTGTGGCAGCTCCCAATCTTCCTGAGCAGAGCACTCTCACTGAACTAGGCCGGATTCGGCATTTATATAATGGCTAATTGATTGTGGCTCAGGCTAATTGGTCAACAGAGTGGATTGCCAATAAACAGGTGCCACATGCCAGAAATGGAATGGGATTAGAGGCCGTTACAGAGCCTGCCTGAGTTCAGGGTCCCCAGCCGGCCAGTACTCGCCTTGTCCAGAACTCTGCACAGAGGAAGCGGATCCCCCGAGTTCCCTTCATGCCCCTATAACCCCCTCTTGCTACAAGAACCCCTTTGTCACGCACTGTTCCTTTTTGGAGCACTCTTTTCTCCTGTCTCTCCCTCCCTCGCAGCCGACCTGGGGAGCTGTAATATTCAGACAGTGGGACTGAATAACAAATTAAGTCGTGTTCCCAAGGATATAATTTTCTTTAAAGCCTTTAGTATGTAAAATGAGGCTGATTCCCTTTTTTTTTTTTTTTCCAGTCATGGGGTGGGGAACCTTTCTCTGAAAAGCCTGATCCTTGACTCACCACATTTGAAAGCCTAAAGCCCCTGCCCTCTACCTGAGCCTTCTGAGAAGTGCTGCGCCTTTCTCTCTGGCCCTGGTGCCCTTACCTTGGCCCAGCCTGCGCCTGCCCAGCTGTCCCTGGAATCCATTGGCTCCCCTAAGTGCCAGGGGTTTTTTTCCTTGGGAGGGGAGGCATTGGCATTGTCTCAGTACCCCTGTCTCAGGTTAGATAGCTGGCAGGCTCAGGTAGAGATCTGGTTCTGTCTCTGGGTTGGGGCTCCCCTTGGCACTGTGGACTTTTAGAGCTGGGTCATCTCTGGGGACACTGTGGAGTGTTAGCAGCATCCTTGGTCCCCACCCACTCCATGCCAGGGTCACCCCCAGTGATGATAGTCACAGATGTCCCCAGAAGTAGCCCAGTGTCCCTGTACCTATGTCCCCACTGCACCTGGTCTCTTTCTGGAACTGTTTCTGGGCTGCTCAGAGAAGAGCAGCCTCTCCCTGGTCCTCGCTTAGATTGGCGTGGCCACACCCCCTGCCTGTGGAGGGTCCAGCCTCTACAGCCACTCTCCAGATGTCAGCTCGGAACAGAGGTGAGGTGCTGGGTTCTATAGCCCTCTCCATTCCTTCCGTGGATTTATTCTCCATGGTTGAATCTTGGGTGAAGTGGCACCTCTCCCTGCCCCATGACCCACATGACTCAAAGCCATCACCTTTCAGCGCTTTGCCTCAAGGCCTCCGTAGGTCTCGCTGCCAGGCAGGACCCCGGCTCAAGCCAGGGGAGCCAAGGAACCTGGCACTCTGTATGGACCAGCATCTTTGTCATACCCCCTTCTTCCAAATAGTTCTTCGCTGTCTTTTCTCTTGGTTGCTTGTTGTTTCCAATGAGAGCTTCCAGGAACTGCCCATGACTCATGTACCACAGGCATACCTGAGCCTGGGACCAAACTATGCAGTAGTACATCTGAGCTCCCCTGATGCCACCATGCTGGTCTGCAGTGGGGATTTCCTCACCTGCTCAAGAATTCAGGTTCTGCCCCATCCTTTGCTGGCTCCCCTGGCTGGGGACCTCAGCCACCCTGGGGAACTGCACTCGGGCCATCAGCTGAGCCCACGGGCCCTGCAGTTTCCACTCATACCACCTCTCCATCCACCATCCTTTGATCACTGTGGAAACAGGGAGATGAGAGCTGCCCACCTGTGATCCCTCCTGTTCTCCTGTCTCCCCCTTCCCCCCTGCATTTGATGTCTGGTGCTCAGCCACTGCGTTTCCACCTCTGGCGCCTATCCGGGTCCTGAGCCCTTCCCCACAGACACAGGTCCTGGGCATTCAGGGAGAGCTGTGATCCCTGGAGAACTTCTTGCCTTCATGACTTACTGACTGTTTCCTTAATTGTTCCCCCTAACAACATGTTCTGCAATTCCTCAAAGATGAAATCCTTTAAATGCCATAACCCCACTTATCTCTGGCAGCAGGAATGTTGGGAGGGAAAGGAAGTATGTCTACTAGGCAAGGAGAAGGGCCTGATTCTGGGCCCTGTGGTGACAGAGCCAGGAGCCACTCTGAGCCTGCTGCATGGGCCAGGGAACCCCCACAATGCCGTTCCTGCCATCTGTGGTCCAAGGTCCCCTGCAACTATGTTAAGAATATTAGTGTTTTTTGGACTTTGTCCCAATATTTGGTCTGAACACATTTAACCAAATGATATCCAGTTAAATCTGACAAAGTGCATGTTTAGGGCCACCATCTCCTGAATCACCACTAAAATGACCACAAAGAAGTGACAGGAAATAGGAGAGGGGATGAAGGCTGCTGAGCAGCACCAGCAGAATTGGATGAGAAGGAAAGAATAGACAAGTGATACCTGATTTTGCAGCACAGAGAACTCGAATATATGGGTCTGCGTACAGGGAGGAGAGGATCAGACTAGGTCAAAACAGGACTGTTCTGAGCGATATTTTAAGGTGGACACCTGAATTCCAACCCCATATTCCCCAAACCCTGAGACTTGAGAATGTTAAGGACCCTATCCTGGGTAACAAAACTCGAGTCTGGTATTAAGGCTACTGTGAAGTGGCAGGGCTCGCCCCCTCAAGGAGCCTGCACGCGTGCGCGCGGACAAACACACACACACACATACAAAACACAAAGAACCATCAGTGAGCATCCTGGTACGTCACACAAAAGAATAAACAGCTAGGGGGTCCCTAACCTCTGAGGAAACCCTCATTGTGAAAGATAATCTCAGAGAAGAGCAGAATCCAAATTGAGAGATGATGCAGTGAGCAGAAGAAGAAATAAAGCTTTTTAGAGAGGGAAGATGATTTTGCATTTATGAAAGAAGAACCTGTTGCTACTCAAAAAACCATTTAAAGAGGAAATGACTCTTTTATATTGATATTTAAATTGCGAGTAAAGAAAATATAAGTGGGTTGGGAAACAGCTTGAGGAAATCTCCTAGAGTATAGAAATTTCACAACTTTTGGGTTAAACAGAATCCCAAAAGCATCTGGAATAAACAAAGCAAAAGAGACCCAAATGGCATGGGACCATTGCATTTATAGCTCATATGCTATCAATAGGCAAAGGGACAAGGCCGCAAGAGTCAGAATCAGAAGAGATATAATTTTCAGCCAAAAGTATATGCCTGGCCAAATTACAGTTAAATGTGCTAGGGAATAAAAGTCTTTTTTTAGACTTTTGAAGTTTCATAATTTCCTCCTTTCTGAGAAATATACTGAAGAGTATGTCCAGTTAAATAAGGGCATCCACCAAGAAAGACGTGGGATCCAGGGAAACTAGATCCAATTCAGGAGAGTCCAAAGCAGTCTCAAGATAAGGGTTCCCACGTGTCACTCTAGAGTACATGGTACTCTGCACAGGATACTGCACCAGAAGACCTGGAGATAACCAACAAAGCTAAGCATCTAAAATAAGGGGCCAGTTTCTGACTCCAGGAGGAGCCAGCAAAGAAAGCAGTGCACATTGTGCCCATGCCCAGCCATGAGCAATTTACAGACACAGAAAAATGTAAATATGGAATTCTGCCTAAGGATGATGGTAGATTCAGGATTGGAGGCAGAAAGGAGGGCTACACCCTAAATATCCATACTGACAACTCAGCAGCAGAGCCCAGAACTGAAAAAATAAAATAGAGGAAAAGTAGCAGCAGCAGTGGGGAGTCCTGTGGAAGTAAATATGAGACTGAAGTTTGGGGAGTTGGCCCAGGGGATGCTGCTGTGGCCATATCACAATTAGGATATGCCAGGCAGATGCCTCTCCCTCCAGTTCTGTAATTGGTTATAGATTCTTCCAGCATTATTTTCCCCAACTTGCTTTCCTCCTGTGCAGTAGGACATGGCTCTTTTAAAATGTCAGTCCACCTACTTACACCCCAGTCTTTTTACACCCATTGGTAAGGCCCCAGTGGATATTGGGAGTACTGGGGTTTGGGAACATCAGGGCTCTGAGCTCAGTGGTTATTGGGGATAGAAGAGGGCCTCAGCTGTCCTGTGGGACACCCTGTTCAGCCCTGCAAGTGGTTAAGCAGAGCAGGGCCAGAAGCAGTTTCTAGGGCCTATTTCCGGGTCTAGGTAGAGGGAGGGCAAGAAAGGGATTGGAGGAGTTGGGCAGCTGCCAGTAACCAAGGCCAAGTGAGCTGGCAGCGGGAGGAATCCTTCTACCAGGTGCTGCCTGGGGCCAGGTTGGGTTCCCTGTGGCTGCCCAGCCATGTGGCTCTGCTGCCGGTCCCAAGACTTGTGCCTGTCTGCAAGTATGGTTGCATCCAGAATTTTCAAACTCCCCAAGTGTAGCCAGTGGTGGCTCTGAGGTGGTGGAAAGCATTCTTCAGGGAGGCTCCTGGCTCCCGTGCCCCCTTCCACCCCACTCCTCACCCCACCTGTCCGAAACCCCTCAATGACCCCTGCACGCCATGCTGTGTGTGATGCCTTGCCTCTGCCCATGATGCTTGTCCACCCCCGGAATGCTCCCTTGCTTTCCGCCTTTGGTCATCTGGGTGGTTCATGCTGCAAACATCAGTGGGACTCGTCATGTGCCAGGCATTGCCTGGGCTCAGAAGAGTTGGAACAGCAGCAGGCCAAGGGCCCCTCAAGTTGGCAATTGAGCAGTGAGGCTGACCCACAGTAGTTAGTATTAGGAGGAGAGGCAGCAGGAGGTGCCCCTAAGAGTCAGCTGAGGAGAGCCCAGGAAGGAAAAGAAACTGGGGTCCTGGCATTCTGCAGGGAATACAAGACTGCTGACAGTGCCTTAGGTGAGAGATGCGGGTCCCAGCATCAGGAGCCCCTCAGGGAGTCCTGGGGCTCCCCGCTTGATTATAGTTAAATGGGCTTGCTTTTCCTTCCTAGGTGACTGTTTAGTCCTTGGAGGTGCAGCTGCCACAGATCCTGTAGGGTTTCTGTGTCTAACACTTAGGTAGAGGGAAGCCCTAGCAGTGCCACACTGATGCCCTCTGCCGTGGACTCACCTTACCTGGGAAGAAGAAAGGCTAGTGGGGCTGGGTTGCAAGGTCTTAAGCGGTTATCACCCCCATACCCTCGAGGGTGTCAGTGACCCAGCCAAGACTGAACTTCATACTCATAGCTTTGCATAGTTCAAAAAATCACTCACCTTCTGTCATGTCGCCTCTCTGGAAAGCCTCCAGGAATTCTAGTTTCCTGGAACCATGCAGGGACACCCTGGCAGCTAATCTGCAGGCCCAACCCCCTTCCTTGCTTTCTTTTCTTTTTAACCCCTCATTCTCTCTCACTTTAACTAAGAAGCCTCAGTGTGAATTCTACTTGGGGACAAGGGCCTCCCTCCACCCCCAGGACTGTTGTTCTCTGCACCCCCCCATCCCACCCAAGCTTAGGCTGGGCACTGGGGGTTTGCCTCCATCTGGTTCAGGCCCTGCCCTGGAAGCCAGCACTGGGATTGGGGTAAGGAGGCGGCCTGGGTGCAGGTTTGAAAAGGAGCCACATGTGGGCTGGGAGTTCCCATGTGGAGGGACAGCAGAGAGGCCCGGGCACAAGTGGCACAGGAGCCCACTGAGGCCCAGAGATGAGGCATCTTGGGAAGTTGAACAGCAGTCCTGGAGAAAAACTCCCTGACGTTTACATTCTAGACAAATTAGTCTGAAAGAAAACAGACACTGGAAAAAGACTGAGGAGGAGAGAAAACCAAATCTAGAAAGGAAGAAAGAGCAGACCAAAAAGCCGGGGCTGTCGTAAGTGCTCTTTTTGTTTTGTCTGTCGTCTAGGCATCTTACACGAGCTGCTGTTTCCATCCGAGTCCACACTCCCTGTCTGCTGCCCCATGCTCAGTGGCTCCCGGAGCCCGGTAGTCCCCTCCCTCCGTCCCATCAGGTGTCATTGGCTTCCCATCTCCAGCCGTCATCAGTACCCTGCTTGACATCACCCCAGCCCACCATTCCCATTACTCTCCCCTCTCCCCAAGCCCTTTCTCCCTCTATTCTTCCTGCCCCCAGGAGCAAACTCCACCCAGGACCCACATTTCCCCCTGACTGTGGGTCCTATGTGGCTGTCTGCTTGGTGGGGGGGCCTCACATGTGGGGGGCTCCGTTCTGCCAGGAAGAGCACACCAACCAGGGGCTTCGCACAGCTCTTGTTTTGCCTCCTGTCTGATGATTCTCCCTCTCTAGGTCTCATCGGAAGCGGAGCCAGCCCAAGAAGCCCAAGCCTGAAGACCCCAAGTCCCCAGGGGAGGGGGCGGTGGGGGCAGCCCTCCTGGAGGAGTCTGGGTGCAGTGTGAAGGAGGAAGCTGCGCAGGAGGCTGACCCTGAGGAGGAGGAGGAGGAGGAGCCGCAGCAGCTGTCCCGGGGCCGGGAGGCCGAGGGTACTGAAGGTCAGCTGTGCCTGGCGGGCGGGTGGGCAGACCAGGTGGGAGAACCAGCGTTCACTGCAGCCAGAGTCCCAACTTTTTAAGAATCCAATTTAGGCCTTTCTTGGCTGAGTGTGGTATTTTGTAAAAAGGTACATTCTAGAGGACACTGCCAAGTTTCTCTTCTCTCAGAAACTGAAGAGAGGTTATCAAAGTCCATTCAGGCTGCTGGAAGGTAACAAAGCACCATAGACCAGGTGACTTAAAAACAAGACATGTATTTCTCTTAGCTCTGGAGGCTGGGAGGCTGGGAGTTCAGGTTCCCCCAGAGCCAGGTTTTAAGGGAGCACTGCCTTCGAGTTGTAGATGGCCACCTTCTGGCTGTGTCCCTGCATGGCAGAGGGAACTAGCTAGTTCTCTGGGTTCCCTTTTAAGGGCACTAATCCCATCCATCAGGACCCCACCCTCGTGCCCTAATCATCAACAAAGGCCCCATTTTCTAACACCATCAAACTGGGGTCAGTTTCAACATATGAATATAGGACACTGAGAGAGGTGCTGTCCACTCTGACATGAGAGAGGAATTCCTGTTGGTTGCAACCAAACAGCCCCTACCTGCCTGGCCACCGGTCAGTGGGACAGCGTAGTGGGGATGGGTCCTGTGCAGTGTTTCTTTTTGTTTTTGATGGGCAGGTTTCATATGCTTCATCTACAGGTTCGACTTCTCACATGTTTACACATAACAGCTCCTCGCTCGGCATTAAAGAAGGGGGTGGCCTTCCCTCTCTGGCCCTTTGTGGGTACCAGGCAAAAATGGGGCCTAGATTATAAATCGTCTCTAGCCTCGGAGCCAGTCACAGAGCCACAGGACACCAGGGGGCTCTGCTGGGGAGTTCAGTGTCCTTTTTGATCACTGTTTGCATGTAGATGGGCTTATCTTCACTGAAGAAGCAGTGGGTCTGAGATAGGAGCCGTGGAGTTGCCCTGGGATCAGCCTGTCACACTTCTCATGTACTGGCCAGTAAGAAAAAATGTAATTTTCAAGAGAATACTGCTTATGATAAAAGCAACCAAAAAGTAATCCATTTTGGAATAAATCTAACAAAAAATGAAGACCTTGATGGAGAAAAACAGAAAGCTTTTTAAAGACAAGCAGAAATGGCTAACAGTGAAGCGCTGTGTGGTAGGAGAGCTCCTGATGCAAAGACATGCTTCTCCCCAAACACTTGCAGGGTCAGCCCCCTCCTTTCGGGTTCCCAGCAGGGCTTGGGATTGTTGATTTCAGTGCAGAGGGGAGGAGAAAGGCCTAAGAAGAGAGGTCAGGAGTGGACGAGGCTACCCACCAGGCATCAGTATGGCCATTAGCTTGCGGGAGAGGAGCAAGAGGAACAGATCAAGGTCCAGGAATAGAACCCTAGGAGCAGGGCACGCCTGACCGTGTGTGGGTACCCATGGATCCAGCCAGATGTGCTCCCTCCTGCCACTGCAACAAATGACCACATAACAGTGGCTCAGAGCTACATAGAGTTGCCTTTTCAGCCCTGGGAGTTAGGAGTTTGACTTAGTCTTATGGGATTAAACTTGGGTAGGGCAGGCTGCTGCTCTGAGGCTCTAGGGTGCCCCATCTCCTACCTGTTCTAGCTTCTCGAGGTACCACATCCCGGGCTCAGGCCCTTCCTCTGTCCTCACAGCCAGCCGCACAGCCTCTACCCATCTCTCTTCCTCAGACCCTCCTCTTCCCTCTATAAGGACCTTCATGAGGACACTGAGCCCCCCAGGAATCCAGGATGCTCCCTGTCTAAGTGGCCTCAACTTCATCCCTTTGCACAGCTCTCTTTGCCGCATGAGGTGGCATGTCCATAGGTCCTGGGGACCAGAATGGGGATGTCTCTTGGGTCAGTACTTTCTGCCACGTGTCCTAAGAATTTATGTTGGGAAGGCCGAACTTTGAAAATGTTTAAAGACAAAATAGGAAAATATCTTTGTAATCTTAAGGTGATTTTTCATGGAAAAGCACAAACTGAAGGGTACAGATTGATGAATTGGATGACTAGGAGGAATTGCTGATTATCAAAAGATGAACCTTAAAGAAAATGAAACAGCCAACTGACAAGTGAGAAAGGTAGTTGCAGCCCCTGTACACTGACTAGAAAGAGATAAGAACTCCACGACCCGCATGCATGGGCCCCAGAGGCAGAAATGCCAAAGGCAGGGAAATTAGGGGTGCTTGGGGAAATGTGCATCAAAAGGCCTGGAGAGACTGCTGTCTGCTCAGTGGGTGGGTAGAAATGAGAGGCTGATAATGCCCAGTGCTGTGGAGGCATCCTCTGTCCTAGAGATGGCTGGGCCTCATCCTGAGAGCTGAACTTCTCAGACCTACTCCCCACAACCCCGGGGGTTTGTGCCCTGGAGAGACTCAGACACAGTGTGGTTGTCACAGTGGCCTCACATCCCATGTCCCAGGTCCTGTCATGGCTGCTTAGCGACGCTTCTGTCAGTGATGGACACATGTGTGATGGTGGACCAGGTAACCAGACAACCTCAGTGTAGAGTCAGCTGTGCCGTCCAGGTCTCAGTAATTACACTCCACAATGTTGTTAAAATGATGAAATCAACGCATTTCTTAAAACATACCCAACCGTTAAGCAGCATACGACTGTGAAGTTCAGAGAACGTGACAAGCCAGACAGTAATTTAGGGAGCGGCTGAGTCTGTTCAGCCTGCCTTAATGAAGTAATCCAAATGGGACCTTTAACACCAGCAGTTTATCCTCTGCTGGCTCTGGGGCCAGATGCCCAAGATCAAGGTGTCTGCAGGGCTGTTTCCTTGCAAGGCTGTAAGGGAGGATCTGCTCCACCTCTGCATGGCTTGTGGACCGTTCCCTTTGTGTTTATATGGATTCTCCCTGTGTGTCTCCATCCACACTTCCCAATTTTGTAAGGACACTAGGTGAATAAGGCATTCTCTGCGACAGGCTTTGAGATCGAGAGGCTCTTCTCTCTGGGTCTGCTTCCCCAGCTTCCTGCCTAAATGGAAGGCTGGGTGAAACAGGCATGCTATAGGCAAACGGTGGCCATGAAGGAGGAGACGTGCATGGTGGCCTGCCCAGCGTCTCACATGCAGGGACCCAGGGCTTTTCAAAAAGGGCTTCAGAGTCCAAGCACCCACGATGGTCTCGGAGTGGTAAGGGCCAGCCCACACATTCCTCCAGGGCTCTCTTCCCCTGGCACGTGGGCCCAGGGAAGGTGAGGCTGTCCCAGGGGTGGCATCTCTGTCCAGGGCAGCACGGAATCCTGATTTTGGAGGCCCAGTTCCTTCCCACAACAGAGCCTCATTTCCAAGGGGGGGGAGAGGGGGTGGATCACCAGCCCCTCTCTAGAGGAAGCAGTCCGTAGGTGTCCACCAGAGCCCTGTGCTGCAGTAAGAGCGCTCTGAGCTGGTCCCTCTGCCCTCCGAGGGAAAATAAATTGAACACAGCAAATAAATAAGCACTCACAGTCAGAGCTGACAGCAAATGTGCGTCCCTGAATGAGTGGGAGATTTAAAGTGGTTTGTAGACTCCTTTAATGCCAGCTTAATGTCCCTAAAAGCTGGAGGTGCTACAGATCAGATTGTGTCAGGCTTTAGCAGAGGACGTTGGGTTGGATTTGCACAGGGCAAACACATTGTCGCTCCCACGCAGCAGTGAGCGTCCTGAGGAGGAAGCCCCGGGGTGGGGGCCCAGGCTTCTGCTTCGGGGTCCTCTGGGGAGAGCTGCTGCACTTGGCCTGACTTTTGGATGGACCAGCAGCCTCCTGCCTACCCCTGACCCCTTGGGGCCCCAGCAGACAGCCAGAAGGCAGCATGTCCACCCCGGCTGCCTAGGGCCTGGAAGCTCGCTTCTCCTGCAGGAATGTGACCATCTCGTGGGCACTTGCCAGCCCCTTGCGGCTAGGCATGGTCGCCATCTCAGGAGGGTCTGCCTCCTCCCCAGCTCTCCCCCCCTTTCCCCACCACATCTCCCCCCTTCCCCCTCTCCGTCTCCCCCAATTTCTCAGCACTAGGTGGAGACCTTTGGCTCCAGGCTCCCCATCTGTAGGGGAGAAGAGCTTGTGTTTGCAAAACGCATCTGCTGCTTTCCTGGTCAGGGAAACTCATCCCGAGGCGTGGCTAGGAAGGGGTGGCCTTTAAGGCTCAAGGCTCCTTGAAGTGGATGAAGGTGTGGGAGGAACCCCAGGGGGTGAAGGTGTGGGAGCATCCATGATGGTGCCCCTGGAATACTCAGGACCACAGGTGTTAGGGGGCTAGTGCTCCCTTTGTTGTGCTGGATGGAGCCTCTTAACACAGGGCACGTGCTTGCCGAGGACTGGGCAACCCAGACTGCCAGCACAGGGCTGCCCCGCACTCAGCCAAGGGGGTGGGGAGGAGAGTGGGGGCAGGAGCAGGAGTAGGGGTAGGGGCCGGGGAGCTGGCTCACAGTCTCTGCAGCTCTAAGTGGGTGAGCCTTGCTTCACCCCTTCCTGGGGTCGTTGTGGGTTGAGAATTAAGTGATAAACCATAGTCCCGGGCTGAGGAACAGGGGTTTCATGACAGGAGGTGAGCCAGAAGGCGGTGTTGCAAACCGGAGCTGATTACATTTCATTTGTCAGTAGTTTGACGTAGAAGGGGACAGATCCTTTTCCCTACATTTTTCCTTATTTTCCTAATCAGGGTCAGGAGAGCCCCAGACTAAATTGTGGGTACCAGTGGGCATCGTGACACTGTCAGCAGAACGACAAAATTGCCCCCCATTTTATAGGACCTTTGGGTTTGAGCCTCAAAGTCCCATGGCAGTGAGCCCCTCAGTCACCTGTCCCTCCTTATACAACATCCTGAACTCCTCAGAAATGGGGGTACTGGGATGAGCTAGCTAGTGTGCCCCTTCTGCAGATGGAGCAGGCAAGACTCTAGAGCTCCATGGCTCCAGACTCTGCCCCAGTGAGCGGCCAGGCTGACAGTCCTTTAGGGCAGGGCTCCTGATGCCACGTGCCACTCGGCATGGCAGGCCACGCCATCGCCACCTGCATGGGTTCCCTGTGGCTACTGTGCCAACTACCAACGACCGAACTCCACTAGAAACAAGACCACCATGGGGGTCAGGTGCCTCACACAGGTCTCACTGGACTAACTGAAATCCAGGTGTTGGCAGGGCTAGTTCCTGCTGGAGACCCCAAGGAGAACCAGTCTCCTGCCTCTTCCAGCTTCTGAAGCTCTGCCTCCCGGGCTCAGGCCCCTCTTCTGTCCTCACAACCAGCAGTGTAGCGTCTGTGACCTTCATCCGTAGTCACGTCTCCCTCTGACCTCATTCAGGAAAGGCTCTCTGCTCTTCAGCGTCCTTGTGATTATGTTAGGTGGCCACCTCCCCTCTCAAGATCCTTAACTTGGTCTTCAAAGTCCCTGCTGCTGTTAGGCCCTGAGGTTAGGGTGTCTTGGGGGCCATGATTCTGCTAGCCACACCACCCGCCTCAATTTCATTTGAATACTCACACTCATCCTGGCCCTCAAATGGAAATGCCTCTGAGGATAAACCTTCCTGCCCTGTCACCTGACAGGGAATCCTCTAGAACTGACCCTCGGAGGTAGAAGGATGATATTTCGGGAGCTCCAGGCCCATAGGGGCTCTCAAGTGACCTCTTGTTTCTGGTTTGTTGTTAGAGGTTTTGCTTTTAAAAAATTCAACAAGTATATGTTAATTGCCTAGGGAACACCTCTTTGGAAGAATGTTTGGGCCAGACCCCCTGCAGGCAGGAGCCTGGGATCACAAAGTGTCTTTCCCCAGCGTCTCTCTAACACCTGGCTTCTTCTGGCTCAGAGTCTTTCCTGAGGCTGTGAGCCTGGGCCAGGACTTGTGGGTTGGGGCCTACTCTAAGGCTCAGGCGGGGCTGGTGTTCGGCCACCTGGTAAGGTGACCTGTGCCAGCTTGAACTTGTCTGGAGCCCGTGTTCGCTTGGGAGGCCTTTTTGGGCCAGAGAGGATCTATGAGCATCCCCAGCCAGCTCTTGCCTAGCAAACTGAGGGTGTCTCCTCTCTTCCTACAGATGATGGGAGGGGCAAACTTCGGCCAGTGGCCAAGGCCAAGAGTGACCGGAAGAAGAAGAGCTGTAGCCCCCTGCACCCCCACCACCCTCTCCTGCCCCAGCTGCCATCTCCCCCACCCACCCAGTTCCCTGCTGAAGAGGCACCTCAGCCAACACCCCCACTGGAGCCCTCCGTGCCGACCCCGGGCCCTGTGACCACTGAAGAGAGCCCCCCACCAGCGCCCCTCAACGTCGTGCCCCCTGAGGCTCCTGGGGAAGAGCAGGAGGTGAAACCACGTCCCATCATCCCCATGCTGTACGTGGTGCCGCGGCCCAGCAAGGCTGTGTGTGACAAGGGCCGCGTGTCCTGCCAGCAGGCCTTTGAGCACTTTGTCCAGAAGGGCCCCACGTGGAAGGAGCAGGCGGCCCCCATGGAGCTGACAGGTCCTGAGGAGGAGAGTGGACCACCTGGCGAGGTGCAGGTAGGGTGGTGGGTAGCAGCAAGTGGTCCCTGGGGTGTGTGGGGGGGCGCAGGCCACATCCCCTGGGGCTCTCTTCATAGCAGGTGGCATGTGCATGGTGAGGAAACCAGAGTGACCCCTCAAAAGGCTGTTAGCATTACCTCCTGCTTGATGGGGCTTTGCTCTGGGACTCAAAGCCATGCCCTATGCAGATGTGTCTTGTTCTGTGTTTAGGCAGCATCAACATTTTCCAAATTGAAGATGGAGATAAAGAAGAGCCGGCGCCACCCTCTGGGCAAGCCACCCACACGATCCCCGCTATCAGTAGTCAAGCAGGAGGCCTCAAGTGATGAGGGTAAGCAGGGGGCTTGTCCCTGAGTGGGACTCCCTCAGACCCAAGCTGTGAACCCATCCACCCTCACTGTTGCTTCTCCCCTCGGTCTCCTGGCCATGTGGTGCCCCAGCCTTCTGCCCCTTCACCACCACCATCAAAGTCAGGCCCTGTTCATCCCTGATGGCCAGTCCTCCCTCCGACCCGGTCCCGGCATTCAGCCCTGCAGTGCTGCCCAAGGCTCTGGGCCTACTCTGCGCATGCCCAGGGTCTGAAATGGCTGTGGCCGGGAGTATGGCCTGCCTGGGCTCAAACCCCAGCCCACCACCTGGGTGCCGTTGGCCTTTCTGTGATTTGGTTTATATAAAATGAGATCTGCTAGCCTTCTGAGAGGTCTTGCCAAGAAGGTCCACAGATTGATGCCTGGAAAGTGCATGGCTGGGTGCCGGCACAGCCTGTATTACTTCTGCCCCTTCTCACCTTGTGAAAAGTGCCACATGCTGATCCTGCCGGAAGCGCCTTCCTCCAGGCTGAGGTTGGCTGCCCCTGCCCCTGGCATGGGCATCTCTCCTTACCTGGCCCTCAAGGTAGGCAGGGACAGTGCCTCATCCTCTGAAGGTCTTAGAATCCCTGGCACAGAGCAGGGCTTCCAAGATATTCCTAGCACAGGCAGGTGGACCCTCACCCCATGCATCACAGGGCCAGCCTTCCAGTGTGTATCACACCACTGTGCCCTGCCAGGTTGAGACTTGAGAAATGAATTCGGATTCTGTGATCACAGGGCTGTGCTCCTCTCTGAACCTCCAAGTTCATTTCCAGTGAAAATACTGCAGCTGTTCACTGCCTCGGGATAGGGGGAAGCAGCCCGTGTTTGTGTCTGTGTCGTGCTAACAGAGGAAACCTTTGCCCTCACCCTGTCTCCCCTAGGCAGGTGGCTGTTGTTAGAGACACTTGGGCCAGAGATTGACGCAGGGTTGGGAAACAGCCAGCCACTGCGGAAGTGACTGGGAGAGGTTAGGATAAAAGGCTATGAGGAGCTAGAGCCGCAGGGGTGGAGACGGAGAAGCTTCTATTTAACGCTCAGCCAAGAGTCAGAGTTGCTATTGCGTATGCAAAATCCTGCTAAGCCAATTTTTCACCTTCTGCTTCTTCCATTTGAGATGCAGGTGGGATGTGAAAATCTTCTGGATGGTTTCTCTCATCCTGAATATGATTTGGGGCTAGGGTGAAGAGGGGTTCTGGAATCACTGTGGACCACAGGTCCTGAGCTCCCAGGAGTGGAAAGAGTCTCAGGAACAATCAGACACTTCCCAAGGCCCCTCCAGGCTGTGGTAGCCAAGTGTCCTTGCCTCCATTCTTTCCAGAATACCTCCAACTTGTGTCCTGAAGGCTTTGGTGGCTCTTCTTACCTGCAGATGACTAGGTCCTCCCTTGTCCATGACTTCAAATAGAGAAGTCTTGCCTCTGGCTCTTTGCTAAGTCAGGCCCGGCTCCCATTGTCAGAGAACACAATGTCTGCCTTAGGAGAGTTGGGTATCCCCCATTGCTCCCCTGATGCTCCTTTCCTGGGGAGCAGCCTGGGGGCTGGACCCAAGCCAGAGTTCAGGCTCCCAGCCACATATTCCTGCCATGCCATGCTGGCCCAGCTGCTCTGAATGTTTGGGCCCCCGTAGTGAACACCTCACTTTCTGGAACAGGCTCCCAGGGAGCTCTGAAGCTCATCTGGAGCTCTAAATAGTGCATGGGAGGTAGGGGTGCAGTTGGGGTGAGGCTGGCTGGTAGTAAAGACTGGGGTTAGAGACAAGTTGCAAAGTATGGATGGTGGAGCCAGATGTCCATTTGTGGCTTCCGTCTCAGTGTGACTTTGGGGTGACATGGCCCCGACCGATACCTACCTTCCAGCACCAGCTGTGTTTCTCTTAGTTCCACTGAACTCACAGAGTCTACACCTGACTCTTAAGGTCTGGCCCACCTGTCTCTTGTCCTCAAATGGGACCAGGGTCGCCAGGTGGGCTAGTTGCAGATAGGGCTGGGCTGAGGTGAGGTGAGCAGTGAGTAGGCATGTTTTCACTGAGCTGAAGGTTTTCTTCTCCCCTCATTGTATTCTAGAAGCCTTCCCATTCTCTGGGGAGGAGGACATGAGTGACCCCGAGGCCTTGAAGTCTCTGCTCTCTCTGCAGTGGAAGAACAAGGCTGCTAGCTTCCAGGCTGAGAGGAAGTTCAACGCAGCAGCCGCCCTGACTGAACCCTACTGTGCCATCTGCACCCTCTTCTACCCCTACAGCCAGGTGACTCCCTAGGCTGGCCTAGCACTGTGCTGTCCACACAGCGCCCAGCAAAGCACCCAGTGGGGTCTCTGTTCCTGTGGGTGCCAGTTCTTGCTGTCTGATGCGAACTCTGTGGAGGGTCTGGTGGGATGAAGCGCCTATTTGTTGTAGGAGCCAGCATGGGACCACAGACCAGCCAGGCAGGAGTGGCGCCTAGGCCACTGGGGTTTGTGAGCCAAAGACTCCCTGTGAGGGCTGTGAGCAGAAAGCTGGCTTCTTGCGATTTATTGGCCTATGACTTATCAGTGCATTTCTGCAAAAATGAGTGCTGGGGGGTATTTGATGGGAGGTTGGGAGCAGTGTGAAAGCAGCACATCACTCTCCTCAGAAGGCTTCTCGGCCTAGCCTGGGGGCAGAGGCTAGAGGCTGGACCATCACAGGCATGGATGGCACAGGTGAAGACTCTGGTGCGGCCTGGCTTTCTTTTGGGTCCCTGGCTCTTAGCCTCATGCCCATGCCCTCCACAAGGGAGCTAAATGCCCTGAGGTCATGCCCTTGCCAGGGGGCTCAGGCGTATGGCTTACTTGTTGCAAGGGTCTTGCCCCTGAGAGCTGCCTGAACCCAGTGCCTCTAAGTGGATTGGATCCACCTCTGGTCTTAGAAGTAAAGTAGATGTAATATGTGTCTGATGGAGAGATTAGGCGAGTGCTCTCTTGCCCTTGCTGGGGAGGCTGCTGGGAGTCCATGCCGGCATCTCCAGCTTCAGATCTGAGTCTTCTCAGTTCTAGTTGCTAAGCTAAGCATCGTAATTCAATCACACCTGAGGTACCAGCAGGCCTGGGAGCAGCTGCTTCTACAGTCTGGGCCTTTGAGGCTCGAAGCAGGCCTTGCTTGCCCCTCATCAAGTGTGTGCACCTCAAGCCATTTTCAACTAATGGGGGCAGCTCGAAGGCAAGGAGGGAGATAGGTATGCAGCCCCATTTTCAAAGCTGGTCTGAGGGGCCACCACCCCCCGACAAGGCATGCAGAGCTGGTGGTCCTTAGTGGAACTGGTTCTTCCCGGGTCCTCCCATCACACCTCAGTGGATCCAGGGCCCCATCTGGGAACATGGTCGTCCTGAAGCCTAGAATGGGATGTTTTCCTCAGTCTCTTCTTGGGATTGGATCTTTGGTGCCTGGTGCACCTTGGAGGTGGGGAGAACAGATAACATGCCATCAGGGGATGGTTAGGACTGACAGAAGGGTCTGACAGATAGTGGACCCAGTCCACTGACAGACGGGCAGTGGAAGTGGCTGCTGGTCACGTGAGTGGGTGGCGTCCAGAGCATACAGGAACCTTGGCAACATAGCACGCAAGGGCCTTGGGGCCCATGGTGCCTGGCATTGGGAGTATAGGAAGGAGAGCCAGGAGGCCCATGTGGCTGGAGCATAGCAAGGGCAGAGCAGTGGGTGAGGGCAGAGGGTGGTGGTGCGTTTGCCTATGTTTGGGGATTTCTAGAGCAGAGTAGGGGTTGGGACAGTGGGGCCAGGCATGGGTACTTCTGGAAGACCCTTAGGGGAAGGAGAGAAGTGGGGGTTGCAGAAAGGGAGTAGCTGGAGATAGAGGGGGGCAGAGGATAGAGCAGGGCTGGCCTGGTCCCAGACTGGTTCATGGTCAGTTGTCCCCCCCCCCCCGCCCCCGCCCTGTGTTGGACTGGGCTCTCCACTGAGGGCGGCCTCCTTCTCCTATAGTCCCTACAGACAGAAAAAGAGACTCCTCAGGCCTCTCTTGGGGAGGGCCCGTCATCTGTGCCACCTTCCAAAAGTGGCCAGAAGACGAGGCCACTGATCCCCGAGATGTGCTTCACCTCCAGCGGCGAGAACACTGAACCGCTCCCTGCCAACTCCTCCATCGGGGAGGATGGGACCAGCCTGCTGATCGCCTGTGCCAAGTGCTGTCTGCAGGTCCACGCCAGTGAGTGCAGTCCTGCCGGCGGGTGGCCCGAGGGAGGGCTGCTGACGAGAAGCTGTGGGCTCTGCCTTCCCTTTCCTCTGGGCTGCTTTTCAGGGCCAGGTCTGGGGTTCGAGTGGGCTCTCATCCGTCACATAACGGGTGGTGGGCAGGAGTCCCACCACTTAGCTAGGGGTGCACCCTGCTCACGAAGGAGAGGGCTGGGCCCCTCAAGTGGGGTTCCGAGAAGGCCCTGAGCAGGTTAAACCCCGGTGGCAATGGCCCCTTACTCCGAGGGATGCTTGCGGAAAGCTGCCCTTACCCACCAGAGGGGGAAGTGGGCAGGAAGCCCCAGGAGGACAGGAACCCAGCTGGATCCTTCTAGAAATACTACTCGTTCTTGAATCTCTGCCAAACTACTCTCACCCTGGCTAGGTGGACCTTCCTGATCAGCCTCCTTCTAGACAGTTCTGCTGAGGCCCACCCTCCCCTCCTGGACCTGGGAGGCAGCAGGAAGAGATTAGGTCCCCCTGATATTTTTAAACTCTACTGTTTGGGACCAGAGTTGGAATTGATGGTAAAGATGAGCTTTTTAGAGTGGTTTGGGCCCCATTTATCTCTGCTCTGGGCTACCACCCTCCCACAGCCTCCTGAAAGCAAGACCATAGCCTAAGACAGAAAAATGGGTGTCTGCCCCTTTCTCGGTCATGAGGCAGGCAGGGAATGTGAGATTGGGCTTCCAGAACAAAAAGAGCTTTCAAGAGCTGTTTAATTTCTTGTGCTGCCTGCAGAGGAAGGTGGCCATAGATCTCTGTCCTAGCCGCCCCTGCAGAGGCCTGCCCATAGCTCATTTTGTCTCCAGTCTGGGAGCCTGAGTTTGAGATTCACTCCTGGGAAGGCAGCTCCTGGGCGGAAGGCAGCAACAGCCCAGCCCAAACTGGAGGCGCCCGAGGTGCATGGGAGGCAGGAAGCTCAGCACAGATGTCTTCCTTGGCTCTGGAGGGAGGTAGAGGCCCCGTACCCTCCAGCAGCCAGGCCCTTTTGTCTGAGTGCCCTCAGAAGACAGAACAGAGGCCCAGAGCAGTCTCTCGGCACCTTGCCCTCCCTCGGGGCCTCCGTGGGTACACAGCAGAAGGCTGCCTTTCTTTTTCTTTGTAAACTTATTTAAATACAGTTGTTTTTTTTAATTATTATTTTCTCACATCTTTGTTAATGTGGGGACAGTGTTGGATTTCTCTCCTTGGGTGTAGTCCCTGTAGTTCCACCACCACAGTCCCTTCTGCTCTTCCCGCCGTTGTGACCCCTCCACTCCCTTGCTGTAGCCAGCTCTGTGATCGGCTTGCAAGTTCTGTCTTTTTTCCTGACACTTTGTTTGCTTTCTCTATATTCTGCATATTTACCTTTTTCCTTCTGACTTATTTCTCTTAGCATTCTCTCTTCCCGCCCCATCCACGTTGCCGCGGATGGCATGAGTTTATCTTTCTTGATCGCTGAGTAGTATTCCCTTGTGTGTATGTACCACATCTTGATCCATTTGTCTATTGAGCACTTAGGTTGTTTCCCTATCTAGGCTATTGTAAATGGTGCTGCAGTAAACCAGGAGTGCAGGTTTCCTTTTGAATTTGTATTTTTTGTGCTCCTTGGGTAGATTGCTAGGAGTGGAATCGCTGGATCATACGGCTGATCCATCTTTAGTGTTCTGAGGAACCTCCCCACAGCTTCCCATGGTGGTGGGACCAGTTTGCGTCCCCACCAGCAGCGGACGAGGGCTCAGCAGCCACGTTCCTGCTGCCCTGCTCTTTCCCTCTACTTGCCCAGGGCCCCTCAGCCACTGTAACCGCTGGCTGAGGGCCCCACAGTACTGCTGGGCAGTGACCTCTGGGGGAGGAGGTAGAGCCGCTGGGGCATGTCCATTGGTCTGCCCCTCCCTTTTTGGTGCCCTCTGCCGTTTCTCAACCAGAGCCGTGTTCCAGAGCGAGCCACCCTGATAACCTGGAGCCTCTGACTCCAGGCTTCAGTAGTAACCATTCTGCTGGCCAACCTCTGCCTCTGAGTGCCAGTGCCCATGAGACCTACTTAGCATTTTACATGAATCTCGGTCCCTTTCCTGGTTCTCAGCCTTCCTCAGCCACAGAGCCTGGAGAAGGCCTTTTCAGTGGGGAGTTGACAGCGAGAGCTCCGTTCAGCTTGTGCAGGCCTGGCAGAGGGCTCCTGTGAGACCCTCTTTTCCTTCCTGGCACCCGCCTTCCCAGGGAGCCAGGTACAAACCCTTCTGCTGTGTGCAGTGGCCTGGAGTGAGACAGAGAGGTTGGTGAGAGCAGTTACCTCAGTAGTGCAGCCAGATTCTAGAAGGCCCTGTCAGCCCCTCGTGCAGCTTTAGTGACAGATGCTAACCTCACTCACCCTCTGTTGTCTTGCAGGTTGCTACGGCATCCGCCCCGAACTGGTCAGTGAGGACTGGACGTGTTCCCGGTGCACAGCCCACGCCTGGACTGCGGTACCTTGCCCCTGCTGTTGGTGGGGGGAGCCAGGCTGGTCACAGGGTAGCCCCTGGCCCGGGTCAGTTCCACAGAGTGGCCTTGGTTGGGCTGGACACCTGGCCTTGGTCGCTCTGGGTCTGCCTGGGAATGAAGGGTGGTCACTTCCCGTCTACCACCTCAGCAGCAGCTATTTTGAAATGTAAGGACTTTGGACAGGGGACTGGCCAGGCCTGGAGCAGTGGGCGGTAGCCTTGGTCTGTATCTCTCAACATGGTTGTCTGGTCTCCACAGGAGTGCTGCCTGTGTAACCTCAGGGGAGGAGCCCTACAGATGACAACGGATAGGAGGTGGGTAGAAGGCGCTGGACTCCCTGTCCTGGGTGTGGGTCCTGAGGCCCCAGAATTGGTAGGGGTTGGGGGGCCTGGGACCAGAAGGAGCAGACCCCACAGATTGTCCTTTAATATCCCATATACTGACTGAGTGGTAGGATGCAGGCAGGGGTGGGCGGGACAATGCCAGCAGCTGTGAAATGACCCCAGGAGGGCCTGGTGTGCAATTGGCCCCTGATTCCACCCCAGGTGGATCCATGTGATCTGCGCTATCGCTGTCCCAGAAGTGCGATTCCTGAATGTGATGGAGCGCCACCCTGTGGACATCAGTGCCATTCCAGAGCAGCGGTGGAAGCTGGTATGTGCCCTGGTCTTGCCCTGTGGATGGAGGGTGGCTGCCAGGAAGCTGGACACCCTGATTCAGTTTGACAAACCTACATTTTGGGAAAAGATCCCACAGATAATAATCCAGAAAGAAAAAGAAAAATACCGGATGGCCTCACTCATAGCAGGAATCTAGAAAACCTAAATAAGAGACCAGGAAAAAGAATAACTATAAGAAAGTAAAAATCAAAATCAACAAACAACCAGAGACACTCTATGGGAGGTGGGGGGGGCGGGGAAAGGAGGGATTGGGGTCAAAATAAGGGGGTTGCAATTGTATGGGGAATATAAAAATAAAATTTAAAAAAAAAAGAAAAAACGATCCCACAGACACGCAGAGCAAAAGGCAGACGGCATGCAGGTGCAGGGGAGGAGCAGGACTCCCTGGCAGGGTGCAGCTGGCTCTGCCCGGGCTGTGCGGGCCTCCCGTGTGCAGTCCACAGTGGCTGTGGGAGTGGGCCGCACACACTGCCCTCTCTTCTTTTGTTGTACCTGGCCCCTTTCTTTTTCACATTGTGGTAAAAACACTTAACATGAAATGTCCCCTCTTAACAAATTTATAAGTTAACAAATTTACAGCATTGCTGGCTGCAGGCACAGCACTGTCCGGCAGAGTTCTAGGACGTGCTCACCCTACAGGCCTGACATTCATAACCATGAACAGCCACTCCTGTGGCCCTCCCAGCCCCTGCAGCCACCCTCCACTCTGCTTCTGTGGTTCCCCACTCCTGGAGTCCTCGCCCGGGTGAGCTCACACGGTGTACGTGTCCTTTGGTGATGGGCTCACCTCACGTAGCAGGCTGTCCTTGAGCTCCACCCACGTTGTTGAGAATGGCAGGTTTCCTTCTTTCTCATGACCGAAGAATATTCCATTATGCACATCTTCATCCATCATCCACTGCTGGGCATTTAGGTGGATTCCGCATCTCGGCTGCTGTAAACAGTGCCGCGGACGTGGGGTGCAGCTAGCTCTTCAAGGTAGCGATTTTGTTTCCTCTGGATAAATACTCAGAAATGGGTGGAATTTCTGGATCATATAGTAGTTCTATTTCTAATTTCTCAAGGAGCGTCGCACTAGTTTGCGTAAAGGCTGCGCCGTCTGCGTCCCCGGGAGCGCGCGAGGGCCGCTTTCATCCTCTGCGGTGCTTTTTTCCTCGCGGTGCCGGTGGCTTCCCGCTGTGGCTTCGACTGGCATTTCCCCAGTGGTCACTGATGCTGAGCGCCTTCTCACGGGCCCGTTGGCTATCTGTATGTTTTCTCTGGGAAATTGTCTATTCAAGTCCTCTGCCCACTTCTAAAGCTGTTGAATTGTAGGAGTTTTGTAACTGGCCTCTTGATATAATTGTGCTTCCCGCTCAGAGGAACCAGCCTTCCTGGTTGGGGCACTCTCTCTCATCATGGCCACCCCTGGGGAACCCCCCGGGCAGCGAAAAGAGCAGGTAGAACGTGACTCAGCCAGTGCCTACTTCCATTCCAGGCTTGGCCACCTGCCAGCTATGTGACTCCAGACAGACTCCTTGTCTGCCTGAGCCTCAGCCTTCCTGGCTGTCAAATGGGAGTCCTGCACCGTGAGCACTGCAGGCCATAGCTAGTGTCTGAGCACCAGTGCCTGCCCTCAGGTTTGTCACTGCTGTGAGTCCGCGGCCAGCCTGGGGGGGGTTGTGCACTGAAGGGTGTGTCCTGTTGCCCCAGGACTGGGCCCCCAGCCAGGGTGCCCCACAGCACCCGGCTCTTCTCCTGCCAGTTATTCCCCAGCTCCCTGGGGTAGTCCTGGGACACTGTTGCTCCTCCAGGCCTGCAGCAGGCTCCAGAGAAATTGGGCTGTAGCCTAGTGGGGGTGCTGTAGAGAGGAACCAACACCCACTGTGCAGCCTGGCTCCCCATGAAGGGGGTACCACGTTTAAGGCCTCTAAGTTGGGGCTGCCAGGCAGGGTTCATTGGGCTCTGGTGGGGACCCTGTGGGAGGGACTGGCTCTTCATTCATAGTGCCTGGGGCGGCCATGGCGGGCGCTACTGGGCGTGCTGTGTGATTAGGAGGAGGCCAGTGGCTTGCAGGTGATTCCTCCAGGAACATGGCGTAAAAAGCCTCATTATTCAGGTGAAGTGATGGTGCAGTACCCGGTGCCCATGATAGATCCTCCCTTCCATAGGCTTTATGGATCATCTGACATTTCCAGCTTGCAGCCTCTTCATTACCAGCACTTGTAACGATGAATTAAAAATCTTTTTACATGAGGCTTGCTTGTACTGCCTAATGGAGCTGCACAAAGAAGCCAGCAGTTAACTCCTGCTTGCCCAGCCGCCCGCCAGCAATTCCCCGGCTGCAGGCGAGCGGCAGGCCTGGTCGTTCTTCCATTCATCCAGCCCTGGTGCCCTCGAGGAGAAATTAAAGCACTTCTCTACCCAAGTGCCCTCGCCACAGCCCACACACGGCTCCTGATGAATGGTTCAGCAGGGACCCCGCCACATTCTTCCTGGCACTCAGAGGCGGAGTAATGAGCTGCCCCGGCTCCAGAGGAAGGGTGCTGCCAGGCTGGGTCTGGCCATGGGCTGCAGGGTGGTGGCCGAGCGCCCCCACCCAGGATGCCTGTGGGTGCTGGGTGCAGGGGCTGCTGCAGGGTGTCTTCTGGCGGGGCAGCTGCCTGGGCACTGCACGCAGGCCCCATTCTGCAGGGCAGCGCCGGTTGCACGTGTGTCAGCGCCTTCCCTGCTGGCCAGAGGGGGAATTAGGTATTGACAGTTTAATAATGAGGTCTCATCGCTATCGATCCTGGCCTGGCTGGTGGAGCCCCACAGCGCCCTTCCTCACAGTGCTTATCTGGCCTTTGAACGCTGTTTACAGAACAATGAAGCCCTCACTTAAGTCCTCAGGGATATCAGGGGCGGGGCCTGACTGCTGCTGTGGGGGCAGTTCGGGGCTTGGCCACCCGAGTCTCCCAGGGTCTGTGCTGGGTTGTGCTGGGTTGTGCTGGCACAGGCCAGCCACCACAGGCAGGCGCCACTCCTACCATGTGGGCCCTCAGAAGGTGCAGGGCGTTGTTCTGATGCTCCTGCAGGGCTTTTATTCAGAATTTAGATTGAGTTCTCCATTTTTACATTTTATAGTATAAATTCAGTTCTTTCAGTACATTGACAGAGTTGGGCCAAACATTACCTCTCATTCCTGAACATTTTCATCAACCCCAAAGCCATCTGTCCCCAGCCAGCACCCAGCCCCTGGCAACCACAAACCTGCTCTCTGCACAGTTAACATCAGTGGACTCACACCGTGTGGCCTCATGGTCTGACTTCTCTCCCTGAGCGTTGTGTGCTCAGGATCCCTCCACCCTGAAGTGTGTATCGGTGCTCCACTCCTTTATGGCTGAGTAATATTCCGCCATGTGGCTTTTCAGTGCCTGCTGCAGGCAGAGGGCACTCGTGGCGGAGCAGCTAGGAAGTGCTCCTGGGGTCAAGCAGTAGGCTGGGTGGGTGAGATGGGAGGGCCCAGCTCTGGGGTGGTGTGAGGGGTTCTCCAAGTTCTGGATCTCAGGAGGTCACTCCTAGGAGATAGTCCTGGGGGATTATTAGTGGAGGGGCTCCCAGCCCAAGAGTCTGAGGCACCAGGGTCCCATTTCTGCTGCCCATGTCCCCCCAGAAATGTGTGTATTGCCGGAAGCGGATGAAGAAGGTGTCTGGCGCCTGCATCCAGTGCTCCTGCGAGCACTGCTCCACCTCCTTCCACGTGACCTGTGCCCACGCTGCCGGGGTCCTCATGGAGCCGGACGATTGGCCCTACGTCGTCTCCATCACCTGCTTCAAGCACAAGTCGGGGGGCCACTCCGTGAGTGCCGGCCTGCCCGCCCACCTGCCCCCACGACCTGCAGCCTGCCGTCCCCGTGACGCAGCCCTCTCCCTCCACCCTCCCAGGTCCAGTTCCTTCGGGCCGTGTCCTTAGGCCAGGTGGTCATCACCAAGAACCGCAACGGGCTCTACTACCGGTGCCGTGTCATTGGCACCACCACGCAGACCTTCTATGAAGTGAACTTTGACGATGGGTCCTACAGCGACAACCTGTACCCAGAGAGCATCACCGTGAGCCACATGGGGTGGGCTGGGCACGGGCGGGGCTACCGTTAGGATGCCAGGAGGTACCCTGGCCCCTCCTGTGGGTCATCTGCATCCAGGGCCACCTGTCGCCTCACTGGATAGGCCCAGGCCACAGGCCGCCTGCAGAGACTGCAGAAAGCGTGCGCGGTCTCATGCAAGCCGACAGGGAGGTGACACCCCCAGCTCAGGCAGCGGGCCCCGCACAGCCCCGATCCTGTGTGTGCTCGGAGCTGGCCGGGAGAGCTCGGGCAGAGGACACCTCTGGGCTCCCGCTGCAGAACTTCCTCACGGTTAAAGAGCGGTCGAGCCAGGCTGCGAGGAGGATGTGAACCCGACGGAGGTCAAGGGCAGCGGCGCCAGGTGAGTGACCACGCCTCCCCCGTGTGTCCTGCGCCCGCAGAGCAGAGACTGCGCCCGCCTGGGGCCGCCGCCCGAGGGCGAGTTTGTGGAGCTGCGGTGGACCGACGGCAACATCTACAAGGCCAAGTTCATCTCCTCCGTGACCAGCCACATCTACCAGGTACGCCTGGGTGCTCGGGGAGAGGCTGGTGCCCGCCCGCCCGCTCGGAGAGCAGGCCCGGTGACTTTCCCAGCCGGCAGGGCCCGCTCGCGGCTGCTGCTCTCCCCCGCAGGGCTGGTGTCCCCATTTTTTTTTTTTACTGTGGTGGAATGTGTGTAGCCGGATGTGCCGTCTACCCGTTCTGGGGCTTGTTCCTGCGATTGCAGAGTGGAGATGAAGGTGTGCAACCTTAGGGAGACTCCTCTGTTGCCACGGCAAAGATGCGCCAGCTGGTCCTGCCCAGCTCCGCTTTCTCCTGTTCCTTGACGCCCGGGGGAGTCAGCCCCGAGGCCCTTCTGTCCTTGCTTGATGAGTTGGACACGAAGGCCCAGACACACAGCGAGTCAGGTCTACTCCCAGTGTCCCCTAGGGCAGCCTCCGGTGCCCGCCTGTCTCTGCAGTCCACCCTGTTCTCCAGTCGTGTGGCGCTGGGGAGACAGTCTTTGTTCCCAGGATCCACTGGCATCAAGAAAACCTGCCAGAGGTGGTTGGGACAGGGTCTAGCTAACTCCACGTGGTCGGCTCTCTGACGATTTGGGCTCTGCAGGCCTTTGCAGACAGGCCTTGCAGACGAAGAGCAGCATGGCTTGTCCCTGCTGTGAGGGTAGAAGGCCGCTGCAGGCCGTGCGTAGCACTGAGGGGGCCAGGTCTGACTCTGGGCCTTCCTGGTTTTGAGCGGTAGACACAGGATGGCCTGCTGCCCACTCAGAAGTTGGTGGAAAGCAGTCTGGTTAACTGGTGGGCAGCTTTCAACGACACGCGTCTGTGAGTCTCTGGGAGGAACTGACTTCCCCTGGGACAGGCCAGGCAGCCCCAAGGAGGACTGGAAGTCAGCTCCCCAGGAGAGGGGTCCAGGCACGGCCCTCCAAGGCGAAAGGTGGTTCAAGAAATCAAACCAGGCATGTGTGGCTCTCTGCATGGCAGTGCTGGGGAAGACGCAGATGCGTGGAGTGCACACCCACACTGCACCTACTGAGGGAGGCAGGATGACTCTTGGGTGGCAGCAGAGACTCCGGGAGCTGCAAGGTCACGGCCGCCTCTGCTCTCTCAGGAGCTCCCCCACCCAGGGGCAGAGGCAGGGTAGACGCAGGCCTGACCCGCTTCACAGTAAGTGGTTTAGAATGTTCGTGCTCTGAGGGGCAGCTTGGCCCTGGAGTGGAGCAGGAGGTTAGGAACTGAGGCGGGGGCGGTTGCGAAGCAAAGCTGATGAAGGGTTTTGTAAATGAAAAGTGCCACAGGAGATGGTGGGAGGCCCCTGAGGGGCTGGGCTGGCGGGACCCCTGCTTTGTGGCCCGAGCACACTCAGGGCAGGGCTGGTCTCGAGGGAGTGTGCCAGGACCGCTAGTGCCCCAGAGGACAGGTGGGCAAGGTGTCGCCTGCAGGAGCTTCAGCATCCCCCAACCTTCCAGTATATTCAGAGCACATCCCCTCTCAAGTGTGACCCCTCAAAATGCCTTTGAAAAGGGCCAAGGCATATGCTTCCCCTCGGGGAGGCTGGGTGAAGGGTCTATGGGAACTCTCCTTAGGAGTTCTTAAAACAACTGGTGAATCTGCAGTTTTCTCAAAAAGTTAAAATAAATGCTGCATAAAACCAGCCCCTTGGAGACCTGAAATTACAGTACATGTTTTGGGGAGACCTGCCAAGAGGAGCCCAATCTAACCGTCCACTCCAGCCATCGTCCCTCAGTATGTGACAACCCCTCTTCTCCCTGACCCTGCTGAGGGCCCCACGGGTCAGCCCAGCCCCTGGTCCCCTTGGTGGGCGCTGTTTTTCCTTTGGGGAGTTTGAGCACACGCCTTCTGATCTTTTTGTCCAGAAATCTGAGCCGCTAGAATTCACTCCCCGCCCCCAGCAGCCTACTACCTGTTGTGACTGAAGCACAGGCCGCAGTACCCAGGATGTGGCCTGGCCCAGACGCGGCTCCCCAACACCCGATGGCAGGAGCTGCTTTCTGAGGGGACCAAGGCTTCAGACCTGGGGTCTCCTGAGCCCTGATTCTCACCTGGGACGCTAGGGAAGGGGGTTTTTGGTCTTTGGCTTCTAATTTGCAAATGAAATGGGAGAGACGGGAGGGAACAGGCTGGGTCAGACCCTCAGGCTCCCCACACAACCACACAAGGTGCTCCTGTCGCCAGTGCGGATGAGGGGGCAGCCGGCATCCCAGAGTCCACACCGGGGACGTGCAGACTAGCCCGGCTGCCTCAGCCAAGTGGCCAGCAGCACCCGCGGCAGTCAGGTCTGCTCTCTGCCCTCGCCGTGCTGTGGGAGCAGTCCCGGTGACCAGTGAGGCAGGCCCTGCCTCGAGCGGGAGCAGCAGAGAGATACTTGGGGCTCCCTGCTCCCGGCAGCACCCGCCCATCTGTGCGTGCCGGGGTTTGGAAGATGCCCCGTTCACATTCTGAGTGTTGTCATTTTTCACAGTAAAAGGCGAGTCCTCTGCAATCCAAACCTCCCGCTCCCCAAAACAGGGCTGTTAGGGCCACAGTGCGACTGCTGCCTCTTTCCTGGGGGGAGCCATGTATCTGTCCATGCTTTTATGAAAAGGGGACTTGTGGGCAAGGCAAGTAGCTTCTAGAATATCTTTCAAGATGTTCTCAAGCTGTGATTCTTTGAAGCTCCAAATGCCAGCTTTGGAATCAGCCACACGTGACTACACACGTGTCGTGCACGCACCCCAGTGCACAGTGCACCCCAGTGCACACACAGTGCACGTATGTTCTCCAACTCATCGCCCACACAGAGTCGGGGCCGTGAGAAGAGGCTGGAGGAGGTGCCACTTGGCATCCACGCCCTCCCCGATTAGGCGGCGTCACCAAACCCACGGTCTGTTCGGGGGACCGGGAGAGGTGGATTCCGCTGCCCCCGCAAGCTGAAGCAAGAGCATACTGGGTTCCTGCGGGGGGCGGGGGGCCCGTCTTCAGCATCCTCATCCAGAGGCTGACCTCTGGCCTCCATGTCCACTCCACCTGCCCCCTCCATCTACCCCCGCTGCCTTGCCCTTGTCTGTCAGCCTCCCTGGAGCTGAGCCTCTGAGGGTAAGGGGTTCTGCCTGTGCCTCGGAACCTGTTGGGCCCCCCCCGGGCACCCGTGTCCACCTGCACCGACCCGAGCCAGAGTGCCGAGTCCTCAGCGGGGCACCACCCCTGAGAGTTGCGCTCCCCCACAGGTGGAGTTTGAAGATGGGTCCCAGCTGACAGTTAAGCGCAGCGACATCTTTACCCTGGACGAGGAGCTCCCCAAGCGGGTCCGATCACGGCTGGTAAGGGATTGTGCAGGACGGGGGCTACTCCCCAGAAGCCCTGGTGGTACTCAAGGAAGTGACCCACGTGACCTGGGGAGGAAGGGGCCGGGGAGGCCAGGCCCTTCCCCTGCGGGGTGCCGGGGGAGGTGAGCCGGGTGAGCCGGCACCGACTGGCTCCCAGCGCCCGGGGTGTCGGCCCCCGCCGCACTCTGAGGTTTGTGGTACACAAAGAACCACGTCCCCGGAGCCGGTCCTGTGTCGGAGGGAGCAGTGAGTCCCAGAGGCAAGGACAGGGGCCTGTAGCTCTTCCTAGACCCGTAGGTTTTTCTTCCTTTGAGTTTAATCGAGAGCGTTTTGGGGAGCAGGTAGCCACGGCCTGCTGCCAGCAGATGAGCTCCAGGGGGGAACCGGCGGGCTCCCACGGCCGGCCTCAGACTCGAAGGTTCCCTGGGGAATGGCCAGGTGTAACCAGACGGACAGGCGGCCTCACCCCTCCCCGCCCCCTGCGGACGGCCGAGCGGGGCTGCCGGAGACACAGGCCAGGCCGGGGCTGCTGCCCTTGCAGGCGCCGGTAGTGGGGTGTAGTGCCGCCCGGCACTCACGGGAGCTCAGACACAGAACCGGAGGCTGCCACGGAGGAGTGTCAAGGCAGAGGAGGGAATGCCAAGCAGCTGTCCCCAGCGATGGGTTGTTGCTCCCAGGAGCTCCCTGACTGAGGGACAGTAGCCCGGAGCCCTGGGCCCGCAGCCGGGAGTGGATTTGCGCCAGCCAGCCCCAGCTCAGTCTTCGGGCTGCTGTTAACAGCACCCCACAGACTGGGCGACGTGTGGACCAAGGTCAAGGTCAGGGTTAGGTGAGGGTCCATCTCATTGGAGCCGAGGACACTGAGGACACTGAGGCGGGAGCGGACTCTGGGGTCTCTGTTATGAGGGCACGAATCCCATTGACGGGGGCTCAGCCTCATGACCTGATCCCCTCCTGAGGCCCCTCCAAATGCCATCCCCGTGGTGATTTCAGCATAGAATTGAGGGGGATGCTGCTCATCAGCCTGCACGCCCTCTTCTGCTCTAACCCCTGTGCCGTCTGCTTTTCCAGTCAGTCAGCACGGGCGCCCCGCAAGAGAGCGTCTTCTCGGGAGAGGAAGTGAAGGCCGCCAAGCGCCCGAGGGTGGGCACCCCTCGCGCCGCAGAGGACTCGGGGCAGAACCCGGACTACCTGGCCTTCATGGAGAGTCTGCTGCAGGCCCAGTGCCGGCCCGGAGCCCCCTTCTAGGACAGCCACCCGTCGGCCACCCTGGGCCCAGCAGGCAGGCGGCGGCCGGCCCTGGCGTTTGCTTGCTGTGAATTCCGACCTCGCCTCCCGGCCTGGCCCGAGAGGCTACCTCCGCGCCTCAGGCGCCCTCTCTCTGCGACGGAGCAAGCAGGACGGCACGCGGCTCCGGCCCCCAGACTCAGGGAGCGGGGCCACAGGGCTCTGGGGCCTGGCCGGGGCCTGTGCCCCCCACTACTCAGATTTGTAAACCATGTAAGCTCTTCTTCTCGAAAAGGTGCTACTGCATAGCCTGCCTCCCGAGCAGCCTCTGAGATTGTGACTTCTGTACATACATCACCTTTGTGAGGTTCTTTCTATAAATACCTATTGTTTTAAAAAAAAAAAAAGTGAGAAAAAGAAGGAAAGGAAAAAAATCCCCAAAGTTGTTTTCTAGATTTGTGGCTTTAAAAACAAAACCGTTCCTTTTCTCCGAATCCAGGATACACTGAGGGAGATACAAGCATCTCATTGGGATTTTTGTTGTGGTTTTAAAATCTTGTTTGTCTGTGAGCGGGCAGGGGAGTTCGCCGCGGCTGGAGGCGCCGGGAAGCCAGGGCAGGACACCCGGGGTCAGGGACGCCTGCCCCGGACTGGCTGAAGGCCCCGGTAACTGGCACCGCTTCGTGGGCGGCTGCCAGCTCACCCCGGCCCTCTCTGCCCGAGAGGAGGCGGCGGCAGACCCTTTGTTGCCGTCCTGGCCAGGGCGTCCAGGAGCCTCCCTCCTGTCTGCACACATCTTGACAAAATAAACACTTTTTCTGGTTTTCTCCATCTTTGCTTCTTCCCCCACGAGAATCATTCCACCCGCGAGGCCTCGGTGCCAGCAGGCTTCCTCCAGCGGGAGACCCTGGCACCGCCCAGGCCTCTCGGGCCCGCTCAGGCCCCAGCCTGGCTTCTCCACTCAGTGTGCGTGACGTCCCGCCCCTGGGACCGGCGGCGCCCACTCGCGGGGGGAGGCCGCGGGGCCCGGCCAGGCCTTCCAGGAGGGCGAGGCTGGCGGGGCCTGGCGCCGGCCCCCAGCGCGCTGCTGGGCAGTGGCCAGCGTGCCGGGAGGCCTCCTGAGGAGCCGAGGGGCTGGCGCCCTCCGTCCCCGACGTCCCGCGTCTGGCTGGCGACACGCAGATTTGTGTGTCTGGGAGAGCGGCCGAGAGGGAACCGCGACTTTCAGCTGGAAGGGAATCCACCGCCTCAGAGTCGTGGGATGAATTGAGGAGAGAAAAAAGGTGCTTCGTGCTCGACTTGGGAAGGAGCCGAGCTGCTTAGCTGCCTGCCCCTCGCCTGCGCTGCGGAGCCCGCTCCGTGCCAGCCGGCCCTCCGTCCCCGCGGGGGCATCGACAGTGTCATTTGCTTGTACAAAAAAAGTGTTTTAGAGATTGCAAGAAGAGTGTTCTAACGGTCGCCAGGCAGAGGGAACTATTTACGGGGAATGGAGAGAATGTAATTTCCTTGGTGGGGGAGGGGGGCAGGTGCCCCAAAGTGGGGCGGGGACGGGGAGGTCAAGGGGAGTCAGCAAAATGTGGGGGTCCCCCTCTGCATGCAGCAGCCCTGCCCTGGTGGCGCAGTCACTGTATTCACATGTAGTTTGAAATGCTATTTATATTGTAAAGCGAATAAAAAGCAGGCAGGGCCCTCGGAGCCTCGCGGCCCTGGGGGTGCGGAGGGTGGGCCGTGCCGAGGCGGAGTCTGGGTCGCTCCCCAGGTGTGGGTTCCGGGCGACGGTGCAGACAGCAGATGGGAAACGCACGTTCTCTGCGAGGAGAGATCCGTGTCTGTGCAAAAGCTGGAGGAAACCCATCCCCGCTGATTCCCCCCCTGAGCTGAAGGATGCGCTGTATTTTTGCCTAATTTCCCTGCCTCTAGGTTCCTAATGAATTAAAGGCTCGTGCGCACTGCGAATTCAGCTCCGTGTGTCGTTGGAAGTGTCTTCATTTCCGAGTCGCTGCCAAGGGAGAGCAGAGCAGCCTGGGCTGGACCCTGAGGCTGGCAGTGGGCGGGGGGGGCATGTACCCCAGAGCCTCAGCCCCTGCTTTCAGCCTCGGGGCCAAGGGAGTCCACCAGAGCTTTCCTGTCCACGGAGCCCCCTCCCTGGGGCTGGCTGACCCCCCCTCCCGATGCCCCCCGGCTTTGACCGTGCTCCGGTGACGGGAGCGGGGCGCGGGCCACACCGTGGGGTCTCACCGTCCGGAATGAGGCTGGTCCCCCGGCATTCGTGGACCTGTGATTCATCTAACCGGCACTGGGAACTCAAAACAGCAGATTCGATCCCCCCTCGTTAGCTGGCGGCCCCCTTGTTAGCTGCGGCAGGAAACGGGGTGGGGGGGGGATGTCAGCTGGGCCAAGGAACGGAGCAGGGGAGCAGGGAGGGCGGCAGGGTGTGCGCCAGCTTTACACAGGGAGCTCTAAGGAGGCGAGAGGGAGCCCTGGGGCCACCTGGGGGAACAGCATTCCAAGCAGAGGGAACAGTCCATGCAAAGGTCCTGAGGCAAGATCGTACCTCGATTATTGGAGAATTAGCGAGGAGGCCCTTGTGGCCGGAGCCGAGTGAGCGAGGCGGGGAGAGGACGGGAGGGCTGGCCTGGGAGCGCTTGGGCTTTTACTCCAGGCAGGCAGGAGGCCTGTGGGCAGAGCCGTGGGACCTGACTCGGGTGCTCGTGGGTGCCCTCAGGTGGCTGCCATGGGGAGGACAGGCCGGTGGGGGAGCCACGCTGGAGCCCGTGAACCAGGGCAGAGACCACTGGGCTGAGACGAAAGAAGTTGGGCATCCGGGAAGGGCAGGCGGGGCCGGGGAGAGATCGGGGCCGGCCGCGCGCGAGGATGTGCGGGAGCGACGAGAGACGCAGATCTGGGGGGAAGGAGGGCAGACCCAGGCGGGCCTTCAGGAGACCCCTGCACAAGTGACTTATTTGCAGGTCACTGGCACCAGGCAGAGTTCAGAGGACACAGAGAGAGACTCTGTCCAGGGGCCCCTCATCCCTCCGCTGCCCGTCCACGGGGGACATCTCTGCCTCAAAGTCTGGGTCATCCCCACTCATCCTGCCGATTGCGGGCCAGGGGCCGGGCCTCGGCGGGCCCATCGTGCCAGGCTTCCAAACAACCCAGCAGGCTGCCCTCGGCCCCCCAGGTTGGCCAGGGCAGAGGACAGCAGATTTGGGCCTCTGTTCACCAACCTGGGTCCTCCACTCTCCCTCCATCCCCAGGCAGGCCACCCCCACCCCCCACCTCCCCCACTCCCCCGCCCCCCGCCCCCAGGGAGAGGGCATCCCAGCGCCCAGGGCCCAGAGGCCAGGCTGGGGGACAAGCACTCGCGCTGCGCCAGGAGCATTATTTATGGGTGAGATTTACTTAGCACATTTGCTCAGCTAATGGAGAACAAAAGAATTATTTGCTGCCACGGGCAGCCCGAGGGCTGACACCCGAAGAGTGAGTGTCTGGGTGCCCGGAGTCTCCTCGGAGCAACATCCATCGTGGCTGCGCTCCAGGCTGCAGGGAAAAGACGCTCAGCCAGCCGCGGGGGGGCAGGGCTCCTGGGCCCAGAGCGCCTCCCGGTCACCCCGAGAGGGGCGGGACCTGACACCCCCACTGGCTCAGCATCAGAAACACGAAGACCCACATGTGGGTGTTTGGAAGTGGTTTCTGTGGCGCTGGCCCTTCCCAGCGGCCAGGGGGGCCTGGACGCTTGCGTGATGTTGCTCCTAATTCACACCAGAGCAGCAGACCTTCTCTTTCCCTGTCTTGGGGGCCAGAAGTTGGGGCCCAGGTGCCGAGGGGAGGGACCCTCCTTTCTCCTCGGCATCCTGCTCTGTGGCCTCCACCGAGTCTCCTCCCTGTGAGCAGCGTCCCTGGCCTCCCCCTGCGGAGGGCTCTTCCCTGCGTGCTTGTGCTCGGGCCTTCGCAGACACCCCGGGGGCCCTCTCGTGGCTCTTCCTCGTCTCCCCTGAACACATGGTCAAAGACGCTTGTTCCAAATAAGGTCACAGTCACAGGGTTCAGAAGTGGGATGTGGGACTCTTTTGGGGCTCTTCAGGCAAACCACCCCACATCCTTCCCCCCCTTGGCAGTGAGGCCCATGACTCTCAGGTGGCTCCTGGCGTTGGTGATGGGAGAGCCCAGGAGGAGGAGCTGGCAGGGGCCTGGGCAGGGCCTGGAGTCAGGATCCCCCGGGGTTGGCCTGAGAGCCATCTAGGAGACGTTGCAGGTGGTGTGGAGAATTTGGGGTACAGTTGGCAGGACAATGCGTGTGGGCACTACGTGGGGCCTCATCGATTCCTCCTGCAGCTGCTGAGCCCCACGCCATGCGGGCTGCCCTGCAGACACCGGCCCACAGAGACTGGGGGAGCTGGTGCTGCAGAACCCAAAGATTCTGCCTGTGGGGACCCTGTGTCCTCTGGAGCAAACAGAGCCTGGCCCCAGCGAGACCGGGTGTTAGGAAAGGTACCAGGGAAAACTGGCAGTTCTTCAGAAAGTGAAACATAGAATTCCCACACTATTCAGCAGCTCCTTGGGGTGTGGGGGCATCTACCCAGGAGAACGGAAAGGAGGGACTTGAGCAGGTGTGGGTGCGTACATGAGCGTCGAGGCAGGATGCACAGCGCTGTGACGCTGTCTGCAGCCTCTGCAGCACAAGTTCGATCCCCGGCTGGCCAGGGAGCTACCCACCTGGTGCAGCAGACCTCTCCTGCCTTGCTCACTGCTCCCCTCAGCAGTGTGTTTCAGTCAGTCTGCCTGTTCTGTTCCCTGCCCTGTCTCTGGTGAATCCTCTCACCCTCCTGCACCTCTGGCCTGTACCCCAGCTCTTGTATGCATAAATAAATAAGTCTAAAAAAATAAATAAATAATTGAATGACTAAATAAATAGGAGAGGGAGGGGGATGGACTGTAGTGAACATAGGGGAGGAGAGGGCCCCGAGGCATTTAGACCATTTGCAGATGCTGTGGAGGGCCGTTGTCCAGGCTCCGTTCTGGGAGCATGGGGGAAATGTTGGCAAATAGATAAATAAAAATAAAATAAAGCCCCTGCCCACCGGATGTACTGCCCACCGGGTCTGGGAGTCAGGCGGGATCAGGAACTGAATGAGGAGCACTTAGATTTTTTGGTTTAAGATTGTGTTTATTTATGCATACAAGAACTGGGGTACAGGCCAGAGGTGTGGGGTGAGAGGATTCAGCAGAGACAGAGTGGGGAGCAGAACAGGCAGATCCTCTGAAATCCACTGCTGAGGGGAGCAGCGGGCGAGACAGGAGAGGTCTGCTGCGCCCTGTGGGTGTCTCCCTGGCTGGGGATCGAACTCGTGCTGCAGAGGCTGCAGACAGCTTCACAGCGCTGCCCTGAACCCCTTGTGCCACCAGGGAGGCCCATGAACACTTCTTGAAAAAAAGAAAGAGGCGGCGAGGGGCTGGGGGTGACTTTATGGGGGGTGTTCACCAGACCCCACTGAGAAGGGGACATTTGCGCAAAGGGTGTAACTCGGCCGTCGGGCACGTCCAGCGGGAGGACGCGCCTGGCCTGATGAGAAACAGCGAGGAGGACGGTGCGGCTGGCGCAGAATGGGGGGAGCAGGAGGAGGGCCTCGCCTCCAGGCCGGGCACAGGGCAGGTCCCGCCAGGCCGTGTGATCTCCAGGAGGAGCCGGGGCGGGCGGAGGCCCCGCGGGCTGAGGGCGCAGCAGAGCGAACCCCGACTCGGTGCTCGCGGGCGCCCTCTGGTGGCGGCGGCGGGGCGGGCAGCGAGCCCGGGCTGCTGTGGGTGGGGTCGGGGTGCGGCAGGAGCGGAGCCCCACCTTTCCGTGAAAAAGGACAGTCAGCGTGGAGCAGGGCCATGAACCCGGATTAGGGAGTGGGGTTAAGTCCTCATTTTTAGAGTTGCCTTGTTCTTTTTTTTAATAAGATTATTTATGCACACAAGAGCTGGGGTGCAGGCCAGAGGTGTGGGGGGGTGAG